TTGTCACTTCTTAATATCTTCTGCTTCTGTTAAGTCCATACCATTTCGGTCCTTTATCAAACCCATTTTTGCATGAAATGTTCCCTTGGTATCTCTAATCTTCTTGAAGAGATCTCTAGTCTTTCCCATTCTGTTGTTTTCCTCTATTTCTTTGCATTGATTGCTGAGGAAGGCTTTCTTATCTCTCCTGGCTATTCTCTGGAACTCTGCATTCAAATGGGAATATCTTTCCTTTTCTCCTTTGCTTTTTACTTCTCTTCTTTTCACAGCTATTTGTAATGCCTTTTCAGACAACCATTTTGCCTTTTTGCATTTCTTTTCCATGGGGATGGTCTTGATCCCTGTCTCCTGTACAATGTCATGAACCTCCATCCATAGTTCAGCAGGCTCTCTGTCTATCAGATCTAGTCCCTTAAATCTATTTCTCATTTCCACTGTATAGTCATAAGGGATTTGATTTAGGTCATACCTGAATGGTCTAGTGGTTTTCCCTACTTTCTTCAGTTTAAGTCTGAATTTGGCAATAAGGAGTTCATGATCTGAGCCACAGTCAGCTCCTGGTCTTGTTTTTGCTGACTGTATAGAGCTTCTCCATCTTTGGCTGCAAAGAATATAATCAATCTGATTTCGGTGTTGACCATCTGGTGATGTTCATGTGTAGAGTCTTCTCTTGTGTTGTTGGAAGAGGTTGTTTGCTATGACCAGTGCGTTCTCTTGGCAAAACTCTATTAGCCTTTGCCCTGCTTCATTCTGTACTCCAAGGCCAAATTTGCCTGTTACTCCAGGTGTTTCTTGACTTCCTACTTTTGCATTCCAGTCCCCTATAATGAAAAGGACATCTTTTTTGAGGTTAGTTCTAAAATGTCCTGTAGGTCTTCATAGAACCATTCAGCTTCAACTTCTTCAGCATTACTGGTTGGGGCATAGGCTTGGATTATGGTGATATTGAATGGTTTGCCTTGGAAACAAACAGAGATCATTCTGTCATTTTTGAGATTGCATCCAAGTACTGCATTTCGGACTCTCTTGTTGACCATAATGGCTACTCCATTTCTTCTAAGGGATTCCTGCCCACAGTAGTAGATATAATGGTCATCTGAGTTAAATTCACCCATTCCAGTCCATCTTAGTTGGCTGATTCCTAGAATGTCGACATTCACTCTTGCCATCTCCTGTTTGACCACTTCCAATTTGCCTTGATTCATGGACCTAACATTCCAGGTTCCTATGCAACAGTGCTCTTTATAGCATCGGACCTTGCTTCTATCACCAGTCCCATCCACAACTGGGTGTTGATTTTGCTTTGGCTCCATCCCTTCATTCTTTCTGGAGTTATTTCTCCTCTGATCTCCAGTAGCATATTGGGCACCTACCAACCTGGGGAGTTCCTCTTTCAGTATCCTATCATTTTGCTTTCTCATACTGTTCATGGGGTTCTTAAGGCAAGAATACTGAAGTGGTTTGCCATTCCCTTCTCCAGTGGACCACATTCTGTCAGACCTCTCCACCATGACCCGGCTGTCTTGGGTGGCCCCACACGGCATGGCTTAGTTTCATTGAGTTAGACAAGGCTGTGGTCCTGTGATCAGATTGGCTAGTTTTCTGTGATTATGGTTTTAGTATGTCTGACCTCTGATGCCCTCTCACAACACCTACCGTCTTACTTGGGTTTCTCTTACCTCAGAAGTGGGGTATCTCTTCACCTCTCCCTAAATTTCAACTTACTCAAATGATGGAATCAGGACACCTAGCTTGCATTTTAATAGCTTGCTACTATTTTCCAGGTCTCTTGTAACAGCTGGAAGGCAAACCAGCGGAGGTGGGATAGACTTCATTTTAAGTTAAAATTTCTCTATCAGGATGGGATTTTTTTCAACCCTGTCAGATTAGCTCTGCATATTGATATGTGAAAACAGTGTTTCAGCATTGAGCTCACCGAGTTTACTCTCATGGGCCCTTCTAGTCAATTCTCTGTCCTTCCTTCCAGGAAATGCCAATGAACCAACTAGTAAGTACCGATGGATCCAGCATGCCAAATGGAATGAGCTAATGCTAAAACAAAAAACAAAATACGTTCCCTGTCAAAGAGGCTAATAATAGGCTAATATAGACATCATTGTCACCTCAAAAGATATCAGTGAAGATAAAACAATAATTTATCTTACTTCAAATCAACATAAATGTGTAAGTAGAAGTGCTGCTGCTGCTGCTGCTAAGTCACTTTAGTCGTGTCCGACTCTATGCAATCCCATAGACGGCAGCCCGCCAGGCTTCCCCGTCCCTGGGATTCTCCAGGCAAGAACACTGGAGTGGGTTGCCATTTCCTTCACCTGTGCATGAAAGTGAAAAGTGAAAGTGAAGTCGCTCAGTCATGTCCGACTCCCAGCGACCCCATGGATTACAGCCTACCAGGCTCCTCCGTCCATGGGATTTTCTAGGCGAGAGTACTGGAGTCGGGTACCATTGCCTTCTCCTAGTAGAAGTGTTAGATTTTTTGTAAAGATATATGTCTGTTAGGAAAGTAGAAAAGTAATATTCATTGTAGCACTGAGCTATCATGAAAGCCTTAACTTTATACTAGAAAAGTCCTACAGCACTCAATCAAAACATTTTGCTTATCTTTCACCTACATAAATGGAAAAATAATGATTTGTAAGATTTAATTTCCCTGAGTTCACTGTTGTGGGAAAAATTATTGGATTACCTAAACTATCAAGCAACTGTGGACTAACTATTCAATATGCAACTGCCAAGATAAACATTGATCTATAACCAAAGTAACAAAACTAGTTCAGAAATGTTTTTATTGTAACATGATTCATCCAGGCTTCTACTAGCCTTCTCCTTGCCAAGTGAGTAGAAGAGATCCAGAGTATCGGTCATCCTGGTCACACTGCACAGGAAGAGACTTGGTTTGTCCGGCTGTCACTTTGTCTAGCTCTTTAGTGTTCAAAGGAAATGTGATCTGCCTACTTATGTCACTAGGACTCATGTCACCTGAACTCATTGACCTGCTCTTCAAGCTAATGGGCCATATTCAAAGTCAATTCCCCACAATAGGGCATATTCATCCAAAGAGCTACATCAAGGAATCCAAAGTAGAACATGTGTATTGAAAGGAGTGAACAAGATAACACCTGGGAACGTTAAGGAGAAAATATTACTTCTGTTTCTATTTGTGTATTTATTTATTTTCTAAAAACTGAAGAGAAATGAGCCTTTAACAATGACTAATGTGTGGTTTGACTCTGGCTTCCCAGGTGACTAAGTGGTTAAGGATCTGCCTGCCAATGCAGGAAACACAGGAGACGCAAGTTCGATCCCTGGGTCAGGAAGATCCCCCTGGAGGAGGAAATGGCAACCCACTCCAGTATTCTTGCCTGGGAAATCCCATGGACAGAGGGGCCTGGCAGGCTTCAGTCCATGGGGTTGCAACAAGTCGGCTATGCCTTAACTACTGAGCACACACTCACACAGCCTCACCTGGACTGCATGTCAGAAAGTCACGTGTATTATTCTGAAGTACTAGCCATAGCCTGTGAGGGAACAGGAGCCCTCCTCTGATGGGGCTGCAGAAGAACTCAAAGTATATTGTTCTCTTGGGTGGGGTCCAGCTCTTTTCAGAAGGCCTTATCCCCTCGACTACGGGTGCACACACACATTCTAGCCCCTGGAACCAAGCAGGATCCTGTGGTACCCCCTTGGGTACAAAAGCCTTTACATGTCCCTATTTCTTTGTAAGAAAATGGCTTCAGCCTCTGAAACATTCCCTGAGTTCCGAAGGGCAGATTGAAATAGTTACTAATTAGGGAAAGGAGGAGATGCAGAAACAAAGGAGGAGCAATCAAGAAAGGAGAACAATATACCTTCCCAGGTGGCTTAGCAGTAAAGAATCTGCCTGCAACGCAGGAGACCTGGGTTTGATCCCTAGGTCAGGAAGACCCCCTGGAGGAGGGCATTGCAATCCACTCCAGTATTCTTGCCTGGAGAATCCCATGGACAGAGGAGCCTGGTGGGCTACAGTCCATAGAGGTCACAAAGGGTTGCACACGACTGAAGTGACTAAGCAGCAGTAGCATACCTGGTGTTTGCAGCTGGCCATTTATAATTAACAAGACAATTTAACATTTAATTAGAATTTACATTCTCAGAGCAATTTCCATAATTAAATAAATGATTGGTATTTAATTTACAATGAACATATTTTGATTCCCTTTGTGGTGATTAAACATTAAAATAGTTGTAGTAATAATGAAAGGTGCTACTAATTGCTCTACAAATAGTCAAAACTTAAATATGTATGTTCTGAATAATCTGTGGTGATTTTAAAATATAAGAACTATAAATGCCAAATCAAAATCTAGAGGAAATATCTGTAATTTGTTCCAAATTAAAATCTAAGAAAATATATCTATGATTTTTCCCATTTCTGTGTACTACTTTAAGAAAGTCATTCAGTTCAGTTCAGTCACTCAGTCGTGTCCGACTCTTTGTGACCCCATGAATCGCAGCACACCAGGCCTCCCCATCCATCACAAAGTCCGGAGCTTACTCAAACAGATGTCCATCAAGTCAGTGATGCCATCCAGCCATCTCATCCTCTGTCGTCCCCTTCTCCTCCTGCCCCCAATCCCTCCCAGCATCAGAGTCTTTTCCAATGAGTCAACTCTTCACATCAGGTGGCCAAAGTACTGGAGTTTCAACTTCAGCATCAGTCCTTCCAATGAACACCTAGGACTGATCTCCTTTAGGACTGGTTGGATCTCCTTGCAGTCCAAGGGACTCTCAAGAGAAAGTCATTAAACCTAAGTAAAAATGAAAAGGGTTCTTTAAAATCATGGCTATTATTTTAAAATATTTAAATAGCATTTAAGTTTTTTTTCTAAATGTTACAAATTCTTAGATGATACTACTGTATATTCTTTATCCACTGATTATACAGGCTCTTTAATTATGGACTTTTGTCCTAGATTTTCAAGATTTTTTTTTCTTCTTTGCAGTTGGTTGGTTTTGTGTATGCCTGTTATGTGATCAGTATTTTCATGGAAGAAGAGGATACCTGTAAGTATCATTTTATCTGCTTCTGGGTTTATTTTGCATGAGATTACCTTCCAAAACTAATCATTCCAGGATCATGAAATCTTTTATATTTGGAATTTTAAATGATTAAAATCAGCAGAGTAAAGTTACAATCAAACATTTACAAACTATCCTGCACATAAATAAGATGGCACTAAGTATGGAAACTCTCAATCCAAGTCATGCAAAGAGAATGCGGAGAGACAGGGATGCCTACGGATTGCTGCTGTATCATTTTAGTAACTTTTCATCAGACACCTAAGTGTCTTTTGTAGTAGAAAATTAGGGTTGCTTTATCTATCACCAGTTATAAGTATGCTGGCTGCAGAATTTTGAAATCTGACTAACAGCAATAACATCAATAGGATAATATAGTATATCAAGAACTACATATGTATATAAACTCTGTAAAGGAAACAAAAATGACAACCTTCAATGTAAGATGTAAAAAAAGAGAGAGATATGCTGAAAAACAGTGAATGGAATGATAATAAGTAGTCACATTTTAGCAGAACACTAAAAAAAAACCAAAAAGATATTATTACTAGAAGTTATGTGGAAAGAACCTTAGCAACATAGGTCAACAAGTCGCACTTACGGAACACCTGCTAATCTATAAGGCACTTCTTGGCACAATTTCATTATAGTTTCATGTTATACCAAAAAACTTAAATTTGCTTTTTAAAAATAAATTATTATTAGATAAATAAATCATAACCAACCATCCTGAGGATTTGGTTATATCACTGCAGTTACTGTCTGGGTTGTAAAGTTAACTCTTTTTTTTTAAAAAATGAGGATAAGTGTCTAGTTAAATGTTACAACTACTTTCTATAACATAATTGCAAAAGAGTGAATTCTTGCCACCAAATAGGTACAGCTCATAGTGTATGAACTGGAATCCAGTTAACAAAGAGGATTTATTTAGTCAACTGGAAGAAATACTAGACCTTGAGATTAAACTCACCAGGCAGTGAAAATATGAAACATTCCACATCATCTCTTTTGTGTCTGCTTGTGGCTATCTTTTTTAATGCTGGTTGATCTGGAAGGTTTCTGACATTTCAAAAGTGCTATTGTAATGACAACACTTCCAACTATGAGGTTAACTTCAAAAAGTATATTTTGAGGTGTTCTAGTTGCAGCTCTGCAATCTTCCAAAGCTTACGTACTGAAAATCTGCAGAATACTTCCAGTGCACAGCTAAGACAGTCTGCACAGCCAAAAACAACCAGTTGAGCAAGGACGATTTTAACTGGAATTGGGACCTTACAAAATTATTAGAATTGGGGCTGTATAAATGCTTCTCCAAAGCATGATATTAATACATTGATTGATAAATCCCAGCTGAATACCTTATAAAGTACTTTTGAGCAGGTGTCAGAAGGATCTTCTTTCTTCTCCTCACTGAACTGATTGGAGGTTCTCAAATGATGCCAATTCTTCATTCATCCTACCTTCTTGTGTAAGGGCAGGCAGATTAATCAATAGTCTTTTATCTAGTAGATTAAATATATAAAAGACTTTTCCTTGAAGCTTGTGATTTTAAGCTAAATTTGGAAATGCAAAATGACATGCAAAATAGAAGATTCATCTAAACTGAGAGAAAGATTCTTGACCTCCTATCAGCCTTTTTCGACATAATAATGTCAGTGTATATGAATCAGCTTGCTACTGGCAGATATTATGGTTTCATTGATTTTAGAGTCTTTAACTACCTTACGTTTCTCTATAGAAATCTCTGAATCAGCTATTGTAATGCCCATGAAACCGTCGCTGAAGCAGCTGCTAGCAGCCTATTCTATTAATGGTTTAATTCTAGTGTTTGTTACTGGGATCATACATTAAGTTACCAAGAGACATCTAGATAAAGTAGTTGTGTTACCATCAATCCAAATAATACTTAGAGCCAAAAGTGTCTTTGGTGCTCAAAATGAGGTAAATACGCCCCAGACGAACCTGACATGATAATTGGCTGGAAGCAAGATGACAGTAAAAAGCAATCACAAACCTTTTAGTCTGGTAGTTCTCAAGTGAGGGTAATCTTACATTTTTTTTATTGAGAGAAATAAGAATCTAAGTGCAGTTGTAATTAAATTGTCCCAGAGTCTTCAGAAGGTAGATGTGAGCAAAAAGAAATGTCTGAAGCTGATTGCATTGATCCCATAGACTAGTGCAATTTATGACAACACTTAGCTGTCAGGTGTAATAATGAACTGCCCTTTGGAGCCACCACTGAGCTAGCGAGAGGGCATTACCAACCTCCAGTCAAGATGTGTCCTTTGAATTGTGTTTCCAAAATGTAAACATCAAATAAGAAAACAATACTGGTAGCCTTTCAGCTTATCTGAGCATACCTCTGGAAAGCTTCTTCTGAAAGATAACTGCAAATAGACAAAGTAATGTCATAGTATTTTGGCAGACAATGTAGCATTTATCATTTCAATTCTTATTCTAACTAATGAAAATCTCTGCATTATTCAAAATGCAAAGTTAAGCCTTGCTCATGGACTGAAAGCTGTCAGCCATCCTTAAAAATTAATAACTACCTGCCTCTCTTCTCTGCAGTGCTTAAGTGGTTCTCTGGGACTAACATTTCAGCTGATGGACATTTCTGAAGGGTAATAAATGCTTGAGGAAACATTTATTTCCAGCCACCCATCTTAGTTACCTTTCAGACTCTTGCGCCATTTCCTATAAAGGCTATGATTGCAGGTCAAAGACAATGAAATAAAAAGCTCACAAAAGCAAGAGTGCTGCTATGTAGGGTCAATACTGTTCATCATTCATTCTCATGAAAAAGCCTATTTATCTGTTTCACTTTTTATTTCTTTTTTTAATATCTATCAATCTCTTTGAACACTTTTGTGGGACTGGGGTATTTGGAACCTGTATTAGTAAAAACATGTCAACATCTTGTTTGTGAACCATTTACTGCTGAAAATGAACTTGTGGGATGGCTACTGTCTTGTCAGTTTTACTAAAAATAGCTTTTTTAATTCAAGGAGGTGTAGAGGGGAAGCAAAGACGCTGACAAATAGTATTAACTTTATAAATATAGTCAGGTTTTTTCAGAGGATCTTTTGAGAACACTGCTTCATCTGATATTAGGTTGCAGATTGGGAATGGAGCTTCTGTTGGGTTTGAAAAGCCCAGCCTATGATGTATATGTTGAATGGCTGGAGAAAGTTACATTGAAAACCCTAAGTGTTAGATTTTTGAAAAGAAAACAAATTCCCCAGATGTGGGTTCAGTATTTTATTTTGAAAATCTCAAAATACCTCCTTATACAACTGTTTGACCCTTGCTAATGTAGTTTAGGAAACTTTTTATTGGAACGAAGCGCAAGCTTGGAAAAATAATTGCATATCTGCTGTCCTTGAGACTTCCCATAGGCTAGTGTTCATGTATTTGCCTGTCTTTCCATGAATTCCTGTTAAGAGAACAAGGTGATAGTACCATAGCAATGATGTGAACTAGAAATGAAAATAACCCTTAGGTCCTGCTAAGAATTTACCAGAGAAGCTAATGGGAGGGAAACTGACTAGTTTGAGTGTTAATTTCCAGCTTCCCTTCCTTCCTTTTGTGATGTCTGGAAAAGCCTTAGAGAAAGAATGTGACCCAGAGGTCAGGCAGTAGAGGACAGAGAGAAAGTAGCAGAGGCCTGGATGATCCTCAGAAGACAAAATGTTTCTTTATTTTGTGAGCTTTGCAATATGTGGATGTTTGAGGGTTGTTGGGCTGCACCCCACAGGCTTATAAGACCTGTACTTGCCCAGCCTCAAGTCTGAAGAAAGAGCCCAGAGTCAGCATCAAAGACATCAGTGGTTTCATGGATGGGGGATTTTACACGTCCTAGTATCTCTCAAGAGGGATGTCATCAACACCCAGCTCCCCAAACCAGTAAGTCAAGGAGGGACTCCGTGAAGTCAAGATAGCAAAGCCATCTTACTAAAACCAGCTCCAAAGTCAGGGCTAACCTCACAGTGAAATGGCGCCTAGACGGTCAGAAACGGGTTTAATTTTTCTGTGTTTCCACTTGAAACTGTATGTTAGAAATTTTTTTAAATGAAAGTGGTCCTTACTCTGCCAATACCTAGCTCTGTGCCCATTAACAAATAGAATCTCCCATTAGGGGGCCCCCAAGCACTCAGCTCTAACATCACAGCCCTGTGGATGACGCCCAGAGCCAAGAGTATCTCAAGGCACCATCAAGTGCATCACCTTTTCTTCATTAATTTCCAAATGGTAAATATCAGGTAGCTATTCAAGACATCCTGATCTCTCTGCTCCAGACTAACAGCCCAGGCAGTGTGAAGGCAAGCCCTCTACACAGATGCCCATCAACTCAACAGAGACATGATCTCACCTCCCTACAACCAGGGTCAGACAGGTTGGAGTTCCCTGGATCTTATGATTACCAAGAGCCCAAGCTGTGGGGCATGCCCTTCCTGAGAAGGAAGACTGAAGGATCCGCCATCCAGATGGTACAGAATGGAAGATGAGAGATTTGGGAGCCAGAGGTGATTATGAGGGAACAACTGAAAAAAAGAAAGTTCACATCCTCGTGGTATCCTAAATGCAGTAAGAAAAAGAAAAGCGGGGGGTGGGGGGTCGGGGGGTGGCGGCCGTAAGGATTTTATGTGGATCCTGGGCAATAGTTTTTATTATTTATTCAATAATAATGTGTTATTAGTGGGAAAATTCAGAAGCCCAGGGGAGAGAGGAGCTAGCAGTGTTCTGACATGGTTCCTTGTATTTCTATTTTAATTCTAAAGTGAGCAGCCCCATCCAAACCCATCCCCATCCTTCTCAGTCATCCAACTGAGCTGCTTAGCCAGCCCTACCGCGGGTATGCTAAGCCCTCCTTTCTCTCCAGCCATCCCTGAGCTGCCTGGCGATCGGTCCCTGAGTGGCAGAGAGGCACGTACTGTACCCGCTGGCCCTGATGCTGCCCCACGAGGGCGCATGTGTGAGGACCC